CACCGACACGTCGGCCGCTGCAATGTCGAGGAGCGTTCGCACGCTTGCCGCCTCTCTGCATGGATTTACCCTCTCGCCCCCTTTCCAGATGACCCATGGCACCGTATCCCGTTGCAATATCTGTGCTCCCTCTCCTGTTACCCAGAACATTCTCTGCGTAGCCGACGTCCTGTTGGTTTCCCGACGCCTGGGCAATTTGCCTATACAGCTGGAAGGTATATAGGCAACAGGACAGAAGCACGGCTTTTGATTACTTTGGGACGAGACTGTGCACATAGATGCATCTTCAATCAGGGAAGCCTGGAGACCCACAGGCGAACCCATGACACACAGGGGGATCATTTATTTGAGAGGCTTGGTAACTGGCGACGGCAAGCTTGGAACAGGGGCAAGTTTGGAACAAGTTCAAACAATTCCAGGTCGTTGCAAACGCTCGGGTCTCATACTCAAATTGGGAAGCGCCGTACATTGCGCACAGACATATCTATATGTATGTATGTATGTATGTCTGTCTGTATGTATGTATGTATGTATGTATGTATGTATGCATGTATGTATGTATGGATTGATGTATGTATGTATGTATGTATGTATGTATGTATGTATGTATGTATGTATGTATGTACGTATGCATGCATGTATGCATGCATGCATGTATGTATGTATGTATGTATGTATGTATGTACATATGGGTATTTACTTATACATACATGTACGCGCAGCCCTCCCAGCACCCATTTAATTCCGATCGGTGATTCGCGCTGTTCGCGTCTAATGTACTTTCCGTTGTCGCCGCCGCTACTCTTACGCATGCTGCTACCCCTGCACTTTCATCTTCCCCATCGCCCTCTTGAGCGCATGTTGTTCCGCTCGCACCCCTGCTCTCCCTCATCCTATCCCCCTCATCCTCATGCCAGTTTTCGTCCTCCATGTATTGAGAAGGCCTCACAGCCGGTGCCGCCGATCCTGAAGACGACGACGATGAGGACGAGGAGGAGGAGAAGGAGGAGGAGGAGGAGGCGGAAGAGCAGGATGGCCCTTTGGGGGCCTCCGGAGAGCTTCTTGGGGCCGGGGGCTCCAGAGCGCATGTTGTTCCGCTCGCACCCCGGCCCTCCCTCATCCGATCCCCCTCATGCTCATCTCAGTTTTCGTTTTCCGTGTATGCAACCATCCCATTCCTCTGTTCTCCTCCGTGTCCTTCCCCCGTTTCTGATTTTTATCATCTTCTATTCCTCTGTGTGCGTATTCCCGTATCGTCCTCCCTCTCCTCATACATCCGACTCCTCTCTTCCTCACTCCTGCTTCGTCCTCTTCTCGTTTCCCGTTTCTCCGTCAGATTCCCTTCGCCCTCCCCCCTGTCTCTCTACCTCGCTATCGCTCTCGTTTTTGTTGTTCCTCTCTCTCTCTCTCCCTTTTTTTTGTTTCTCTCTCTCTCTCTCTTTTTCTCTTTCCCTCCTCTCTCTCTCTCTTTCTCTGTTTCCCTCCTCTCTCTCTCTCGCCCTGTCTCTTCTCTTCCTCTCTCCCCTCTCTCGAATTCGCGACCCCGGCAACAGTCCAACTGGCATGCTTGGGATTCCTACGGCTTTCCTTCTTCTGACAGAAGATCTACCCTGGAGCCCTCCAGGGCACCGAATCCCAAGCACCCTAGTGGATTCAAAGTGTTCGGCTAGTGAATCCAAAGTGTTCGCGAATCCTGGGGATGCTTTAGATATAGGGTGCGCGAATCCCATAAACCTCATGATTTCATTGTGATGCTTGGGACTTCTGGGGTGCTTATCCCAGAAGCCACCTGGTTTCAGTGGGAAGCTTGGAACTCCTGGGGTTGTCCACTCTGATGCAAGAATCTACCCTGGAGTTCCCCAGGGTTCCGAATGCCCAGCATCCGAATGAATTCGCCAGGTCCGCGACGTCAGGGAAGCCCAAATTCTGTGACTTGACTCGGATGCTTGGGATTCATTGGGTGCTAATCCCAGAAACAATGTGATTTCACTGGGGTGCTTGGGATTCCTGGGATTGGCTGCCCTCCTACAAACATTGACCGTGGAGCCCCCAAGGGCTCCGAATGTCAAGCTTTCTGATGAATTCACGGGGTTCGCGACGTCAGGGGAACCTAAGCGATATTACTTCACTGGGATGCATGGAATTCCTGGGGTGTTAGTCCCAGAAGCCTTGCGATTTCACGTGGGTGCCTGGGATTTCTGGTGTGCTAATCACAGGAACCAGACGGTTTCACGGGGATTCCTGGGATTTCCTGCCCTCCGACAAACAGTTGCCCTGGAGCCCCCCAGGGCTCCGAATCCCAAGCATGCCAGTGAATTCACAGGGTTCGCGACGTCAGGGAAGCCCAAACCCTGTGATTTCACTGGGGTGCCTGGGACTTCTGGTGTGCTACTCACAGGAACCAGACAGTTTCACGTTTCACTTGGATGGTTGGGGTTCCTGGAATTTCCAGCCTTCCGACAAGAGTTTACCCTGGAGCCCCCCAGGGCTCCGAATCCCAAGCATGCCAGTGAATCCACAGGGTTCGCGACGTCAGGGAATCCCAAGCCCAGTGATTTCATTGGGGTGCTTGGGATTTCTGGTGTGCTAATCACAGAAGCCAGATGGTGTCATTGGGATGCTTGGGCTTCCTGGAAGTTTCCGCCCTCCAGCAAAAATTGTTTACGCTTCGCGAATCCCCACCAGTCCCTCAACCTGGGGCGGCCCTGCCCCCCCCTCCCCTGAGCGGCACCCTCTGTCACCCTTGGCCTTGGGGTGCCGTTCGGTAATACCGTCTGCTCCGTGCATGACGCCACGCATCCTGCAAACCACTTGCCACTGGCATCACTGCCTTCTCCACCGGTGGCCGACGCTCTCTTGTCACTCGGCTCCTCTCTCCCCGCCATGTTTCACTTCCTGAATCCCAGCGGACGCTGCCCAGGCCGCGCCGCTGACCCCTAATCGCGGCGCTGCCGCCCTCCGCCCGATGCGCGCACCTCCTGCCTTTGGATCCAGGTGTGCGCTTCGGCAATACCGTCCACCGCCTCTCCGCAGTGGACTCGCGGCCCCAGGCCATACTGTAGCTGTCTCACCGCCAGGCCTTCCTGGCCTGTCAGTGGGCCATTGCCGCTTGACCACTGGCTTTCCCCTGGACTTTCTAACCGAACGATCGGCCTTCCGCCGTCACCCTGGACCTTCAAACGAGAAGGACGGCCTTCCGCCGTCACCCTGGATCCGTTGGCTCTGTGGGACACGTCTCGGGTACAAGACGTCCTCGTCCCTCTGCGCTAGACGACTCGGATGGGTATCGCTGGGCCACCTTTGTTGTGCACGCTCCTAGGGGTCTGCCGTGCTTCGTGTTCTCCCTTACCTTCCACTCGTCGGATCTGGGCTGTCGCATCTCAGGTGTGGATGTTCTGTCTAGTCATCGCTCTCCACACCCTGGATGCGCTTCTTACGTTGCGACTGGCTCGCCGCCTGCTTTCAGTTGGTACTTGTCCCCAGTCAGCCTGTGGTACCCTGCAGGCTCCATGGATCGGTGCCCCCTGGACGTCATTGCTGGACGGCTTCCTACCGCGACCTTGGATCAGTGGCTTTGTGGGACTTGCCTGGGTATACACAGTCCGTTCCGCCTGTGGTCTCCGCCTCATTGGACTGCACTGTGACACTGTGCTGTGCACACGCCGCGTTTCGACGGGAGCGTGCATTCGGTGCCCTTCCACCCGTTGGGTCTGGGCCGATACGTCTTGGTGTGGTTGTCTTTTCGGAACATGGATACACCTTGATGTCGCTGACGCCGCGGCTCGCTGCCGCCGTCGGGATCCTCGTTGGACCTACCACCCCGACCTCTGTGTTACCCGACAGGCTGGGGCTGGCGTCCTCGGCCGTTCCGTTGTCCGCTCTTGGACGTTGGAACGCTTTCGCGCCATTTTGGCTGCGCTTGGTGGTCTCGGTGCCTACCTCAGGCCTGTTGGACGCACCTGCATGCCCGTTCAGGGGCTGTCATGGCACCTGGAATGCATCGTCTTCCCTGGACGCTGTCGTGAGCCGCCTGATCCGCGGCCCTGCGCGCGTTAGGTAATTTAGTCGCGTCCGCGGCCCGTTCGCGACCTTCCGCCGCTGGCGCTTCCGCCTGCGGTTGTAATAAAAAAAAGAATCCCCACCAGGTGGGCCGGCCGGCTAGTGCCTTGTGTAGCTAATTCGGCTTGCCCGTTTGCCCGGACTCCCTGCCCGCCGCCTGCTTCTTTGCTTGCGGCCGCGACCGAAAAAAGAATCCCCACCAGCCCATTCAGAAGCCCTGCCCAGGAGGACCGACTGGAAAAGTTACGAAGAGACGCGTACAGTGAAACAGAGTGTGCAAGGAGAGGAGAGGAAGGAGGGTGTTGAGACATCTTGGAGGCAATCTTGGAGCATCGGAGGCCTTCTTGGATATACGGAGCTGTAATGGGGGATGGGGCTCTCTTGGAGTTTTTTTGGGGCATCTTGGCGCTCTCTTGGGGCTCTCTGGGGGGTTTTCGGGTCCTCTTGGGGCTCTCTTGGGGCGCCTTGGGGCCCTCAGGGGGCGCTCTTGGGGCCCTCTTGGGGCCTTCTTGGGGCTCTCTTGGGACTCTCTTCGGGGCTTCTTGGAAGCCCTGGATGGCCTCTTGAAGCTATCTGGGAAGCCATCGATCAAAAGGGGGGGGTCCTCTATGTAGCCCCCCCCAAGAGCCCTCGGAATCGCCTCTTGGGGCCCTCTTGGGGCCCTCTTGGGGCGCTCTTGGTCGGTCTTGGGGCCGTCTTGGGGGCCTCTTGGGCGCATCATGGAGCTCTCTTGGGCCATCTGAGGGCCATCATGAGGCCTCAAAGGCGCATCGGAAGCGAAAAGGCGACAAGGCACAAATCATTGATTTTCCAAAGGTGTTTGAAGGTTTTGGCTTCTCGGGGAGGTCCAGAGGGGTCTCCAAAAGGATCCGTCTTATGGCCCTCTTGGGGCCTCTTGGTGGCATGTTGTTAGCTATCTTGAGCCATGTTGGGTTATCTTGAGCGATCGTGGAGGTTGTCTTGGGCTCTCTGA